GTTAGTACCACAAACGAATGAGTTGCGTGAATCACACGACTTCGTTAAGTCAAATAAGTGTGCAGATATTCTGGGAACCTTACGGTGCGTCCAGAACGGGTTTTCTTGGGAGGCTCGATAGAAGGTTCGGTAGCTGTCGCTGTGCTAGTGACTTCATCGATGTCTAAACGATCTTCTGTTACTTGTGGATTTTGGGGTACGTTGAGCTCTATGCTAATAGGATTACCCTCCAAGTAAGCCGGTTTCAGACGGTCAATGCTGACGGTGTCCTCGCGGCCTTTTTTGTCCAAGACAAAGAATTTATCAGAACGTTTAATTACTTTATAAGGTCCGTCATATGGGGTTCCAGGGGTCTGCGCACAGAGTCGCGACGAACAAATACATGTGAAGAAGTTTTCAAACACGGATGAACGAAAACATCAATGGACTGTGGACGAAGGGGAGCAGGTTTAACTGAACGCATTGCGTTTGTAAGCCTGCTGACGTATGAAGCGTGATCTACCACTGGTGGGAAGCTCGAGGGAGAAACAAATTCACCAGGCAGTCGCAGTGTCGTGCCATATACTAGCTCGGCGCTAGTACAACCAGCATCGGTTTTCAAGGCGTTTCGTATCCCTAGGAGAACTAACGGAAGGGATTCAGTCCAATGGGTGTTGTTTGCAGCTGACAGACCAGCTTTCAGCTGTCTGTGTAGACGTTCTACCATACCATTAGCTTGAGGATGGTAGGCTGTTGTTCGAAATCGCATGCAACCTATGATTTTAGTCAGGGCGAAGAATAAGCCACTTTCGAATTGCCGCCCGCGATCAGTTGTTATGGAAGATGGGCATCCAAAGTTAGCGATCCATCTTTCTACGAAGACGCGTGCGACTGTTTCAGCAGATACGTCCTTGATGGGTACTGCTTCCGGCCATCGTGTGAATCGATCGATGCAAGTTAAAATATAGGTATATCCATGTGATTCAGGAAGGGGTCCAACCAAATCTATATGGACGTGTTCGAAACGAGCGTCAGGGAGAAGAAAGGTGCCAAGTGGGCTTTTGGTGTGTCTTATCACCTTGCACTTTTGACAAGCTAAGCACGTGTGTGCCCATTCCCTTACTTCTTTATTAATGCCAGGCCAACAAAACCGACTAGTTACGAGCTTGACAGTAGTTCGAATACCTGGGTGAGATAAGCCATGCAACGTATTGAAGACGTTACGGCGATAACTTTTAGGCACGATGGGGCGAGGAGTACTCGTGGAAATGTCACATAGAATAGTATCTCTTCCCATACCTAAGGGTTTCTCAGCTAATTGTAGAGTTGTTTTCGACAACTCATGTTGAAGCTCAGTATCTTCTTTTTGAAGACGAGCCAGTTTTACAAGGTCTATGCCGTCGATTTGGGTGAGGGAACAAACGCGCGACAAGGCATCTGCCACAGTGTTGTTTACTCCGGATACATGGCGAATATCTGATGTAAACTGTGAAACGTAATCCAGTTGTCGTGATTCCCTGGGTGAATACTTATCTGAAGGTGAGTTCAGAGAGTACGTCAGAGGTTTGTGATCAGTAAAAATTATGAATTCACGACCCTCTACCGAATGTCTAAAATGTCGTATAGCACAGTACATAGCCAGAAGTTCTCTGCCGAATGTGCTGTACTTCGTTTCAGCTAATTGAAGGCGCCTGGAGAAAAAGGCAAGTGGTTGCCACTCATTGTCAACTAGCTGTTGTAGAACTGCGCCGATTGCAGTGTTTGATGCATCAACCGAGATACTTAACGGTGCCGTTGGATCCTGATACATCAGAAGTGTGGCATTCGCAATAGCTTTTTTAATCTGGGTAAAAGCATTTCGAGCAGACGCGTCAAGTTCTATGGACTTGTTATTCCCTCGAAGGAGGTCTGTCAATGGCTGAATCAAAGAGGCACAGTTGGGAATAAAGCGTCGATAATAACTTACTAAGCCGTTAAAAGTGCGGAGACTTTTCACCGTCTGTGGCTCTGGAAAGTTCAGTATAGCCTCGACCTTAGTAGCCAGTGGGCGAATGCCCTTGCAGTCAATAGTGTGACCCAGGAAGTCGAGTGAGTCAACACCGATTTGACACTTTTGAATATTAATGGTAACACCATGTTGGCGTAACCTTTCAAATGCCAAGTCCAAGTGCCTAAGGTGAGTTTCCTTGTCTGGACTGGCAATGAGGCAGTCGTCTAAGTATGCGTATACAAAGTCGAGACCGCGAAATACTTCGTCAATGAAGCGTTGGAATGTTTGGGCTGCATTCCGGAGACCGAATGGCATACGTAGAAATTCAAAAAGTCCGAAAGGCGTAATGATAGCCGTTTTCGGGATATCTTCTGTTGCCATCGGGATTTGGTTATACGCTTTAACCAAGTCGATTTTGGAGAATATAGTCGCGCCGGATAAGGTTGCCGTCAAGTCGTGTATATGAGGCAACGGGTAGCAATCAGGGGTTGTTTTGGCATTCACTCGCCGGTAATCACCGGTGGGTCGCCAATCATTGCTATCCTTTTTCGGAACCATATGAAGTGGGGATGCCCATGGGCTATTCGAAGGTCGAATGATGCCAAGGGTAAGCATATGGTCAAATTCATTCCTGGCGATTCTCAGTTTGTCAGGAGCTAATCGTCGTGCTTTAGATGTCACAGGTTGTCCTGTGGTAATGATGTGGTGCATAACATTGCTGGTTATGCACGGTAGGTCGTTCGACGGGCAGTTAAGTTCCGGATACTTGTCAACATAGGTTGAAAAGTTGGATCAAGATTGCCTTTATCTTAACGGGTGACAAACTAGGGCCTATGTAGCTGATGCCTTTGATAGACAGACTAGTAGTATTGTCAATCAGTCGTTTTCGGCGGACGTCTACGAGTAAATCATGATGATTAAGTAGGTCCGTGCCAATGATGGGCATTGTAACGTCAGCGAGAAGGAAAATCCATCGAATAGGTTTGCGTAAACCTACGTTCAGATAGACGTATTTCCTACCAAAGGTTGCGATTGGTTTTCCATTTGCAGCCTGTAAGTTGAAGGTAGGTTCCTTCTGTCGATCTGCTGCTGTAGCAGGAAGGACGCTGACTTCGGCGCCTGTGTCGACTAAGTATCGAGTCTGGCTTATCACATCATGGATGTAAAGAAGGCGGCTAGTGCCACCGGCGACGGTTGCCGCTAACGCGTGCCGGCGGGATAGTTTCCCACAGACTTTGAGACATTTCCGAAGTTACAAGGCTTACGGCAACACTTCGCTTCTTGGCCATAGGTGTTGTGGTACCAGCACCAGTCAGGGTTTTTCAGTGAACGTGGTTTGGACTTAGATCGACCACGTGAGTTCCTGCGTTGAGGAGATTTAGGACGACGGTTGGAGGAGTTAGAAGGCATGTTTGACCTAAACATCTGCTGAAGGGAGTTGCATAACTCTATCAGAAGGCTGCGTGTTCGAATCACGTCGAGCTCACCAGTTTAGAGGTTTCACGGAATTCCCTTACACAGCCTCTAAACTATTCTCGCGTACCAACAACAAAGCAAAAGCCAATATTTGATCGTCCAAACTAAGTGATATATTTCGAGACCAAAACAAGCCTTCAGACGAACGCTTAGCTAGCTAGTGAACGTGCACGTGACACGACGGGGTACCAAATGGCGGGGATGCTTGACCGGAAGCCTTCAGCTAAACAAGTCAACTTGAACAGTGGTGGTTAGCATCCAATGGTGAGTGATTGCTGTGGTCAATGATTTCGGGGAATTATTTACCGCTACAACCTATATCAAAAATTCAAAACTACATCAACTGTGCCGTCCAGTAGCTATACAGTTCAAAGTATCTCAGGAACAAAATACGTGCTGCACAACAGATTCAGTTCACCAAATACAAATGTAAAATATCCGGGAATATAGGAGAATTTTCCAGTCATGTGAAGTTGAAATATTGTTTGAAAGAACCATATGAAACAAACGACAATTCACACAGATAATTGAAAATCAGGCAGTCATCCCATGGCGTAGTCTTGAGTTCATTCACACAAAAAGCAGTAGCAAAACAGTGGATTATTGTCGACAGTCTCCCATCACACGACAACAAAATGAAATATTAATAATAGGGTTTAACAAAAAAGATCAAACAATGAGGATTAATTATTTAATTGAATTTTAGATTTTCCCGTCGATTGATTGGACCTAAGTGCTCGGTCTCAAGTTGACATGTCGGCTTCCTGTGCAGATGCTTTGACGATGTCTGGGCATGTAATTAGAATCTAATTGGTGGATGGTGACTAGCAGTGATATCCAGGATGCGCATTTCATCCTATTTAGGACTCGTCAGCTGGATGTACCTGCATTCCCCAGTGAGTGATTATAATGGCATTTGAAGCTATGGGCACTGGATTCGAACCTCGGTGAGAACATCATCACTCACTGGGGGAAGCAGGTGCACCCAGATGACGAGTCCTAAATTGGACGAAATGCACATCCTGGATATCACTGCTAGTCACCATCCACCAATTAAATTAGGATTCAGTCAAAGTGAGATATGAACCATATAGGCCAACGGAAAACGGTTATAATTACGTTATACGAATATTCAAAGAAATATCAATAATTTTAGTGGTCGGTTCAGCAGAGATCTTCGAATTACTTATTCTGTTACATTACATGTAAGCTAGTGCATTCATTTTGAGATTTTTCATAATCTCCGAACTTTCTCCTCATGAGTTTGTACAGTTTGTAAACTTCGTTCACTGACGCAAACTTGATCAGTATTCGCTTAATGAATATTAAAACAGTTCAACTTCATAGCCTTTCTGTATCCAGCAAAAGCTTTGTTCATTCCGCTTATTCGTTTCTGTTTCGTTTTTAATGTCCTTTAAACGTTGAAGTAAATGAGAATTTGTAGTTATTTGTAATATTAGTATTTGTATTTCGCAATGACCGAATCAAAGGAATTGAACCAACAACACAGAGAGGGATGGATTTAGGAATTTGTATTTGGCGGAATTATAATTCAATTCATATAAGAAATATATTAACAAACAACAGTAATTATTTAAACAATACAGAGATAGAAATTGTCAATCACCACAACATTCTTATTACTGTGTTTGCTAGTTGAGGTGTTCATTAGTTCGTGTAATGAATTCCTTTCTGTAGTCATAGGATGTAAATTCTTAACAATTATAAAGTGTTCGGCATTCAGTTGCTGATTCAAATGGTGAATGGATGATTGTACATAGTTAGTAACAGTCGCAGGATGTTGTATGCGCTTTTCTTTCGTCCATGTTGCTTCACGTAAACTTTTCTTTGCTTCTAAAAAAGTGAAATTTACCTTCTGGCAATTCTTTGGCGAACACATCATGTTCACCGATGAGAAAAAGAATGTCATGAAACTATAGCTCAGAATGATTCAGTAGGTAAGCTAAGTCACTGTATTCTTACTGATTCATAAAAACAGGATCTTCGCATTGTAAAAAGCGAGAAATTGCTTCACTAAGTAAGTCATTGTGGAATAAATCGGTGGAAACGATATTTAGAAATCCAGCAATTTAAGACCTTTTATTCCAAGTACAGATAGATTTTCTTCACTAACGAGCAAGGGAATCTGTAGAAAACTACCACTTTCTGATTTCAAAAGAATCTTGATGGTGTCGATGAGGAGTAGCTTGTGACCAGTAGTACCTGTAACTGAACTTGTAGTAAGCTTAACCTGTACATCCTTACAAAATGATAGTAAGTTCTTCTTAAATATTATAGACTCAATACTTCCAGTATCAATATGAAAATAGTTCAACTTTCCTGACTTTGTAGTAACCATCTTACTAGACAAATTGGAAGTATTATGTGGGCTGTGAGTGGTGAAATTACATAAAATTTTAAAAACAGACTTTATGTACCCAAACTTACCACATTTATGATATTTAGCATTGCGAAAGTGCCAAGTAATTAGTCATTGAATCGTCCTACATGAAATATATGAATTGGTAGTATTGTTCTTTGTCTGAGATCTATCATAGGTGGGTAACATTTAAGGTTTCATATTATAAAGGCCTGCATTTTAAACTTTGGATAGCGTTACATCAGGCTATTATGTAGTGCGAACCGTATATTCACTTTTGAAATCTCCATATGTAGTACATAAATCTGCAGCAGTCTGAAAGGTTTATGAAAGAATTTGAACCAGCTTCTCCTCTATCCATGTAACATTAATACTGGCAATTAGAGAATCACTTAGATGGGTGTTAAACTGGTCCTCAAGACTACATTTCGAAGTTTGCATCTGCAGCTGAAGAATGAGGTCTAAAATCTCTTGGTTGCGAGTATGAGTGGCTTTGTCGAACTGTGTCATCACTCGTGTTTCAGAAGAAGTAACTTATGGATGAACTGTTATAAGTCCTTGGAGTTATTCGTGTAGCAGGGAAATTGACTAGTCTGGAAACACAAGACTCTCTAGTGTAACAACAGAAGACAAGGGCCAGGCAACAGATCGTTTTATTATGAAAATCAACACGTATTTATACATCTTTCAACTACATTATTATAGACAAGCGCAGTCATCTGATTGGTTGTTTATCAGAAGTTAGGTAGACAAACGCAGGCTTCTGATTGGTTGTTTCGGGATTCCTTGACAAATAGAGTTCTCTCTGCGAATCATATTCTGCCACGTTAACTTTGCTGTGATTGGTTGTTGACTCAGGCTTGTTCATATTTTCTCACGGCCCATATTAGTGACCTAGACCTTAACGTAGATTAGTGCCAACCAATCGGCTAGCAGCCTGCTCTCACCACACTCGTCCGCCCGTCAAATACGTGCGACTGAAGTCGGCTTGATCTACTTGGTGCAGGCGTCATCGTTGGCTTGTCTCGCTGTATCCATTCCTGGAGCTCGCTGACGTTCACGCGCCTCTCATTGTTCGCCATTGCGACTGTGTCTGCGTAACCCCATCTCGAAGTGACCATATATGGTCCTTCCCACTTTGGAAACTGTTTGCCTGACCCTGTCGAACATTCGTCCATACTTCGGCCCACACCTTCATATGCTGCTTTCGCCCGACCTCCCAGCAGCGTCTCAAGTAGCAGCTCCATCGCTGACAGATCTTGAACGCCACTCAACTGCGCAGAAGCCTTGAAGTCCTGCCCGAAGATCCATATGTCTCCATCAAAAACTGCAGGGTATAGGCTTTTCATTTGTCGGTAGGCAGCGACACCAAATGTAACAACAGAAGACAAGGGCCAGGCAACAGATCGTTTTATTATGAAAATCAACACGTATTTATACATCTTTCAACTACATTATTATAGACAAGCGCAGTCATCTGATTGGTTGTTTAGGTAGACAAACGCAGGCTTCTGATTGGTTGTTTCGGGATTCCTTGACAAATAGAGTTCTCTCTGCGAATCATATTCTGCCACGTTAACTTTGCTGTGATTGGTCGTTGACTCAGGCTTGTTCATATTTTCTCACGGCCCATATTAGTGACCTAGACCTTAACGTAGATTAGTGCCAACCAATCGGCTAGCAGCCTGCTCTCACCACACTAGTAGGCTCTGTACTTTTGGATCAATCTGTTATGTACTCGTCGAGTAGTTAATAGTCCTGACGCGGAAGAGGGAAATCAGAAGATCACCAGGTTTACGATGATCCTTGTATTTTCCAGACAATGAAAATAAATGTCACACAAGAGTGTGAGTGCAATAGTACGAGTGTACGAAAAAATGTGTGAACAAGAATGAACAAGGGTCTAATACAGAAGTGTATATGAAAATGGCTAATACACATGAACCGTGATTGGTTGTAATATCATGTGACAACAAGGTCACACATGTTTATTTACTTAGTGGACAGACAAAAAGCATATTGTCAGTTGTAATGAAATATCGATCCATATACACATAGTAAAATATAATAGACTGTCAAAAACAAAACACACATCATGTGGATACATACCACAATCTTAGCAATAAAATGAGCTGAAATCTCATTATCTTGAACACTCTTTGACAAACACCATGGACCGAAGCACTCAACCTGGGATTTCCTGCTGCGAACCGTTTATGCAAAGCCTCCTAAGGTTACTTGTTTTCATAGCAATATCAAAATGTGACACATCTTTTTAACTGTACTTTGCTGTACCCGAATACTAATAAACCAGAGAATAAAATGGAGAGGGAGGAAGTCGGTAAATAGTAATTGGTATAGTTATTTATATTGTATACAAAGAGCAACTAGGAGTCGGTGGTCCAGCCATAGGATGTTCGCAAACCTTTCATCTGTTTCGAGGTCCGATTCTCCGATGACGCATAACTAAACCTCACTTAGACGATAGGAAGCCCGGTAAAGAGGGAAGGTCGGATGTTAGGCTAGCAGCTACACTCCTTGAAATGACAGTACCTCTACTGAAACTTAAAAGCCCTATGTTCCACTCAGAAATCAAAGGAATTAAAAAAACATACAACAGAAACAAACAGCAGTGCGCATTTAGAAATATATGATAATGAAAATAGTCTTTCAACATACTGACAATTCTAATTCCTAAGAAATGAATTCGGAAGGCAGTAGTCATTCAAAAACAAATTAGTTCGCTTTGGGTTTTTCAAAGACTGATTTATGTCAGTATGCAGCACGGTTAATAAGGTTGCAGATACGCCTTGCTGATGACTGCCGACTGGCACGAAACCTAGGTCCAAGGCTTCCTGTGGCCGATTGCCTCCAACCATCTATATCATCAAATCAATGTGCACCGTGATGGCGAGCTACCTAGAATGGTGATCACACTGCAGACCTGACTGACAGAATTCAGTCTGCACCAAATAAAGGACTAGACACATCACACTAGTTACTAGTGTCAAATCAAAACAGTCAGTAAGTTAGCATATTGTTATTTTTGGGCTTGTAAATCTGCACAGATGTTTTCAAACTTTCGCTTTACTATTCACAGTAAATATAAAGCACGGAGCTTGAATGAAACAATTCATTTTCGGATTATATTTTGTGAAAATGTGTCCTAAACATTAATGTGACATTTAGGGAAAGAGCTGGTGGAAACCAAATAAAAATGTTTGAGCATTTTTGGACGTATTTTTGATTAATCTTTCGTCTACTGCTATAAAAGGAGATAAGCTGCTGTTACCGTTATTTTTATCACCAGGGGATCTGGAAAGTGACAATAATTCACTTCTTTTACCTTAATGAATAAAAAAACAAACCACTTAAATGCACTCAGTTAGTTTATTCCCTCTTATCATTTCGTAGTTAATCTTAGGAGCTTTAACGACAGTGCTATAAGAATAAAAAGAAGCCTCACTTCGAATGTTGTATATTACTTTATATTGTCAGTGTGGTAGCTGTAAAAAACAATCGGCTGAATATAATTATGACTTGCTACTTGGTAATTACACTGACAGGAACAAAATTAGAACTAGAAATATAGGATAGCTAAGTGGTAACGTCTCCGACTGCAGCATTGGGTGACGCTGGTTCGAATCTCAGAAGGGATATGAGTTCCTTCAAGGTTGCAGATACGCCTTGCTAATGAGTGCCAACTAGCACGAAACCTAGGTCCAAGGCTTCCTGTGGCCGATTGCCTCCAACTATCTAATATCATCAAATGTAGAAGCTTATCAGTACCTTCCAAAGTGTGGTAAATTCCAATGTTCTGCGGAATAATTTCCCTACATAGACAAAAACAGATTCAATGACTCAATGAAACCAAATATTAAAAGCCACTATACACTGAATAGTGAAAAACACTACACAATCTAATTATAAAATGTGAAGTTGATCTAGATTTTTCTGTTCATTCTGTAAACTTTCACCAGATATCCTTCACTCTTCCCATTACATGTGACTTTGTGTTTACCTAACTTCTTTAAATCATTAAACATTGAAATCAGTAGCTTATAATTTTGAGATGGCCTTGCATTCCAACGTTATTATTATTCCCTTGGAACATAAAGTTTTAACAACACATCTCCACTTCCTTCTATTCTCTGCTGTCTTCTTCAGTTCGGTCCACGACTGCCCGTAATCTCTCATCGCCTACTCCAACTCACACGATCTCCTCCATCTCTCACACTAGCACTGACGACCAACTCGTCGCTTCCTATTTGGATTACACTCGAGTGTTGACCTACATTGAGCGCGGCGTTATTCTACAGTCTTCTCAAGGTGAGCCTTATTCATCTCTATTTTCCCTTCATATTTGTTGAGCGGTCGGCTCTCGCCTGTTGGTTTGTTCCCAAGCAGAGTCTCTTGTTATTTATTCTTTCTGGCCAGCCATTTGATCTTCATTTGATCCGTGTTCCATGGAGAAATTTTCAGGGTAGCATATACACCATTACCTTAACTTTCAGTTAGATCTTTGGGACTAGCAGCTGTGACTTTTAAGGTAGCTTTTTCTCACTTAACGCAGTACAGACATCCTTCACTTCACTTTCAGTTAAATCTTCGTGACCCTGTAGCTCTGTATACTTACAAAGTTTCTTTTGTACTAGATTAGGGCCAAAGTTTTGAAAATGTGTATATTGTTTCGTTCATATACTTTTCATATGCAAGTTTATGTTTGTACTGCTATCTGGTCTTGTTGTCAGAAGGACATTTAAGTAGGCAGTTTTGAATTTAGAGTTTTCATCACGCGTAAATCTGATAGCTAAATTTCCCTCATTAAATTAAACCATAATTGAACACCTTTCTAAATCATTTATACAAAAGATGAATGCATCATCTACATATATATTGTCAGTAAAATGAGGATTTTCTCATAATATTGTTTAAAGGACCATTTTCTAGTTTAACTAGAAAGAAATCTGTTAACAT